AAGGAGTAATTCGTCACCTATGATATTAAGACCCTGTTTACATGGAGTGGGGGACCCCGGACTAGTGGGGTTGGTTTCGTTTGTTTCCACGCTCTGGGGAACACAAAACAAAAGAAACCTACCCCACTAGACCGGGGTCCCCCACTCCATGTAAACAAGCCCTAAGACCATAACTTTCTAGCAGAACGTAATTTCGTGCAAAGAAGAATTGCTTGTTACCTTAAAAAATCCACGACTATAGAACAGTAAAAGAAAGGTGCGAGGTTAATTTAAATCTGATTTAAATGCTGTTTTAACGTGATATCACCTTGCAAACATTACCATGACCATACCCTTTATTCCTCTATCTTCCAGCAACCCTGTCATCTTACCTTTATCTCTAGCCATTAGTCACGTTCAGCCCAGTCACACTAGTGTTTATGCCACCATCGACCCTTCTCCTTAAGTAATCGTCACTTTTGACATTATATTTCGTAACCAGACAAACCAATTGTCGTCAAAGTTTATTATATTGTGGTTCTCTGTAACATTTTTGAATCAGAGTAGTCAAGCAACTATTAGTCTCACGAGTAGCCTCAAAGAGTGCCGTCGAAAGATTAGTACATGTATGGATAAAACACGAGTCTATTTTTTTTTTTTTTGTTTTTCCTTTCTGTTTCCTTTTAAACGATTTCCAGTTGCTGTTTCTTTATTCGTTGTGGTGAAGCAGATCTTTACAAACCCCTTATAAAAGGAATAACGCGATATAACGAGTGCATTCCTCGCCGTACTTACAGTGATATGTTTAGGATAACGAACCCCTGTCACAAACACATTTTCCAGGCAGTCCCAAGGTATTCGGTTTATCTGGACTCCAATGCATGTATGATTCCAATTGCTGATCGAATTATGTTACGCTTAAAATGATGTTGTATTGTGGCGGATTCAAATTACTGTGCATACATTAAAGATATGCTTGTGTTCATTATCCCGTGCGATGACGTATTAGGAATTGTTTAAGCCTGAATAGTATATAATTATGCACAGCTGTCATTTCGTAAAGAGTTTCATTGAACGCGGGTAAAGAAGGTTCTGCTCTGGCACGGCCTGGCCCCGGTTGTTCAAACGTTGGATAGCCCTATCCACCGGATAAATCACTATCCAGCGGATAAGTATTACGGAAATCAATTACGCTATCCGCTGGATAGTGATTTATCCGGTGGATAGCGCTATCCGACGTTTGAACAACCGGGGCCTGCTGCTGTTTTGTCGCATGCGTTGCAGCAAGCCGAGCTTCCTTTGCAACCGTAATCAGTACAAGATTTTGACAATGAAGCTCAGTCAGGTGCGGCTGTCTTGGCTGGAACACAAAATGCTGTAAGCTACGTGTTACGCCTTCGAACTCCACTTCTACGCCAAGGAGACATGACGGATTTTTTTCTTTCGTACAATTTTTGCGCTATCTGTGGAACCATCTGTTTTCTGTTTGAGAAGGGTATTCATTGCCTATTACAGGGTGAGTTATTTATTTGTCCGTGTCTCGCCCGTGTTTGTTAGGACTCAGGGGTATGTGTTACTGCCTTTGTGCGGTGGTTTGCTTTATAATTTTTTTGCTTTCGCCTTATTTTTTATTGGCGTTGCCACTTTGTTCAAGAATCATTTAGGATTATCTTTTCCCAAGGGGCTTACGACGCGCCGGGTGACCTGGCTTAATTTGTCCAAAATAATATATCGATAGTGAGTTCAGCATGTTGGGGATTTAACGCCTTTTTAATTTATGTGTTAATTATCCAAAAGACGGCAACGAATCCTTGTGAGGCAAATGGAGGTTAGCGGTGGAGGCTTCGTGATCCCGATTATAAAGTGATTGGGCATCGCTGTGAGCCTGTTTATATAGTGACTGGCATGGGTATCGACTTTAATGAGTGAGCGTCTTTGTGAGCCTGTTTATGCAGCCATGTACGATCTGCGATTGGTATCTTTGTTAGCCCGATTATAAAGTGATTGGGTGTCTTTGTTAGGGGCACCCAACGACCCCCTTAAATATAATTCCAAAAAAAAAAAAAAAAAAAAAAAAAAAAAAAACGGCCTAACCTGGGCAGTGAAATGTGAACAATTAAACTTCAGAAAATCGTAGGGAATTTATTAGATAAGCTTCGAAAGTATTAAATGAATGTAACGGTCATCTTGAATTGTTTAGCTTTCCTCAAGTAATAAAATTCTAGTAGTCAATATTTACTTCTCCGAAAAAAATACTTTACAGAAAACAGTCGTTGGGTGCCCCTACTTTGTGAGCCTATTGGGCGCAGGTAAAGTATCCTTTGAAAGACTTACTCCCAAAAGAGCCAGAAAATTACGGTGTGGGACTCAGAAGTGAGCCCGGAAGTTGAATAGCAGCAGAAATTATGGCACAGAACTGAACCATCGCTGTGGGAAGTTAGCTCCCTCTCCCCTCGCCTGTTTCCCCCTCTCGCCCCTAATACTACTTCCATGCGCCTGCTTCATAGGCTATACGTATAGA